CCTCTTGCCGTTCATGCCAGACAGGGCTTTGTCCAGCATCTCATGTGTCAGCTGCGGAAGATCTTGAGCCTCAGCCCGACGACGGACGTACAACAGACCCGCTGTGATCTTGTCAGGGGTCATAGAGCAATCTTCCCATATGTGGGCCCGATCGTCAGCTCTCTTGTCCATCATCTCATCAGGAGTCGAAAACACAATAACCAGCAAGAGTCTCATCTGGCTTGTCGATGGAACCCTTCGCGTGTCGATGCAGTGCTCCAGGGGATTCCTTCCACATCTTCGTAGCCCAAACCTGGAATCCCTTGCGGGCTCTGGCCATCGACATTCCGATTGCACGACACTTGTAGTTCTCCGCTCTGTCAATGATGGTCTCCAGCTCGTCGTCAGAAGCTTCGTCTTTCTGCTGGATCGCCGCAATCCAACATCCTCAGCGAAAGGCTTCTGTAACTCGGAGTCAAGGCCAACGTCGAGCAACTCGTGGATCTTCGCCAACACAAGGTTAAGATCATCAGCCCGTGCCGCGCGTCGGAGAACCAACGGCCTGGACAACAGGGATGTGCAATATTGCATCGTTCAAGGTGAGGATCCCTCATGTGCGGTCTTGAAGGAGTCGCGCGTGTCTGCTTCCATTCAATAGAATATCCTCTGCCGCGGCCACGACGCTCCCGGGCGACTTCTTCAGGTACTGCGTGGTGCGTAATCGTGGCTTCCTCGACCCCTTGAACCCAGCGGCCGTACTCAGCGGCAATCTGGCCACGAAGGGAGGGGTCGCGGGCCAGGAGGAAGTGGGGTCGCCCAGCTGGGAGATGCACGTGCGGCTTGTCGCAGGCCATGTCCCAGGTCGAAGGGGGAATCGCGAAAGAGACGGCGGGCTCAGGGTCAGCAGGAGGGCGGGCTTGATCATTGAGCTCTTCGAGTGCTTCCTGCGGTGCTCCTCCAATGCTCGCTTGCGCCTCTCACGCGCCTGGGACAGCGCTCTCTGTCTTTTGCTCTCTGGGTCTGGAGTCTTCGAGGGCCCCGGTACCACAGGGGGCTCGCGAGCGGCGACGAGGCTGCGGTGCCACCAAGAGAGCTTCCCTGCTTTGAGAGTGACTGCTATGCCAGCATGCGTACGCCACGGCACTTCTGGAACAATCTCGACTCTGAGGCTGCTGCTGATGCCGTCCTTGGCGATAGCGTAATCGATGAGGGTGCCCGAGCCTCTGTTGCAAGTGACCACACCTTTGGTCGGTGCACAGATCTGTCCTCCAATCTTTGAAATCCATGACGTCTTCGACCACTCAGACGGATGCGCATTCCAATCACCAATCAATATCCAAGGATCCGTAACCTGCTTCAAGAAATATGCCAAACTAATCAACATCTGATCATTGGGGCCTTCCAACTTGTACCCCGGCTGTAGGTAGCGCGAGACAACGACTATGTTGCCCATGCGAGTGTGCCACAAAACGGGAGCGAAGCCCCGAAAGAAATCTTTGCCTGTCCGCAACAGCTCAGGGGTACGCCAAGACTCGAAGGACGTGGTACAGAGAGTCCTACGAGAAACAGTCCGTTCTCCTCCAGAGCTGCCTCCAGAAGACCTGCCGCTCGGAGCAGCAGGAGTCGCAGCAAGCTTCCATCCATCTCTGCCAAGGTCTGGCTTGGCGGAGCTCAGCCTGTCGCCCATCGTGTGCGTCTCGCGACACGCAATCAACTCATATCCATCAGCCTGGCCACGAACGAGGCCTCGGGCCACTGGGCCCCTGCTCAGAAAGGTTGGCGAAGAAGATCTTCGAGTCCTGTGGGCTCGGCCCCCGGGGATGGGCTCCCAGGGTGGCCGTGGAACATGTAGTGGTCGTGCTCGAAGAGGGGCCGCCATCGGGCGGCGGAAGAACTAGGCTACCCAAGAGATGCGCCAGCAGGAGGGCCAGCCGCGCCAGAGCTGGAGCCACCCTTGCCGCCCCCGCACTTCGCCTTCGCGACCGCCTCCGCCCTCGCAGTAGCGATTGCTGTCCGCAGGGTCTCCTCCGCGTCGGACTCAGAGACCGCCTGGCCCGTGGCAGCTGGGGGCGGGGAAGGTGGGGCGGCAGGAGGTTCCTCTTTGTGCTGGTCGGTCGCCTGGGAGCTTCCTTCGTCGAGGCGCTGCCGCTTCGGTGGGTTCGAGCGGACCGCCCGCGCCTTCTCGTAGTGCGCGTGGACCTCCGCCTGCAGCGCCGACACCTGGTCGCGCTTCTCCTGGATCTTGCGCTGGAACTCCGTGAGCTCCTTCTGCTGCTCCTCGTCGAAGGAGCCGATGTCTGCGAAGAGGCCGTCGTCCACCGCGAAGACCACCCTCTTGCCGTCAGTGGTGTAGCCGTCGGGGATCGCCTTGATGTTGGCCTGGGCAGCCACGCGCTGGACCGCAGCGTCATGAGCCTGCTTCGCCTGAAGCTGCTCACGGGCCGCCTGGGCCGCCTTCTCGTTGGCGCCCTGCAAGGCCGTCTCAGCGAAAACCACCGCCGCCGTGGCAGCCTTGAGCGCCGCATTCTTATTCTCGAGGTCGCGAGCCGTCTCGTTGTAGCACACGTGGGGGGACTGCTGCGGCACTGCCTGAGATGCTTCGTAGCGCTCCTGGGCCGCGAGGAGCGAGCGCATCTCGGTGGCAAACATGGGGTGGCGGGTGAGCTGCTCGAGCAGCGACGAGGGGCAGCCATCGGTGAGCTGCGGCGGCGAACCGAGGCGCCTCTGCCCGCCATTGCGCCAAGGAGGGTTCGCCGCGGCCCTCCTTGGCCCATATAAGTCAATTTGAGACTGACACTTCGCACATGCACCATTGTTGCGCTTGATGCGGAAGTTGTATGCCCAGTTGCCACACGCCTGGCAGAACGAGAAGGAATCTTTCCCCATGAGCGTGTGGTACAGGAACGCGTGCCACGAGAAGTCGTAGTTAGTGGAAAACAAAGTGGGAACCAACCCAATACAGTAACGACTGCGAGAACGGTAGGGGCCGCTGATCCCCTGTGCCAGAATGCTCCTGCCCGCTGCTGGCCCCTGAGCCACGCTACGGACTTGAGCCAAAATGGCTACGGAGGAGGAGGAGGAGGAGGAGGAGGAGGAGGAGGAGGAGAAGGGGGAGGAGGAGGAGGAGGAGGAGGAGGAGGAGGAGAGAGGAGGAGGAGGAGGAGGGAGGAGGAGGGGGAGGGAGGGGAGGAGGAGGAGGAGGAGGAGAGGAGGAGGAGGAGGAGGAGGAGGGAGGAGGGAGGAGGGGAGGAGGAGGAGGAGGAGGGGAGGAGGAGGAGGAGGAGGACCAGGAAGTCGAGGAGGAAAAGGGTCGTATAAGCCCGCACTGACCCACGGGAAGAAAGCCATCCAAAGAAGCTGGTTTCCTCCGTGGAGTTTTGAAGCGCGAGGTTTTCTGCAGGTTGATTGTTTCGGACTGATCTTGCTGCGTTGGATGTTGCGGCCCTAAGACGGGGCCCCAAGGCGTTGGCAAGCAGAGGAGGAGAAGGAGAAGTGCGAAGCCAGGGCAGTAACGGTAGCAGCGGCAGCGGCAGTGTGCGCGGGAGCCGCTAGCTTGATCGCCGATGGATGCAGAGAGGGCGGGGCAGCGCTTAGCTCGATGCCGTATCAACATGGTGACTGCAGCCAGTTTCGTACACAAACCGCAGATGACAGGAATCGACGTGTGGCGCCAAGCATTCTGGTTGAGAGAGTCGCAAGCCAAGTCTCGAGTTCGTCGTTCTGGTCTATCATGCTGATCCGCCTTCGCCTCGCCACCTGCCCGCTGTTCCTGCCACTCCACCCCTGATGCAAGCATTGGTCAGAAGTTTCTTCAGTGGAGCGCTTCAAACGCAAGCACGCACGCACAAGTGCATACATCTAATTCTGCGCAGATGCCAACATTCAAACGCCAGAATCACTGCATCATGTTGAAGCCCCGAGTCGGGCCCTCATTGTTTAGAGCTGTGTGCTTGTGTTTCTGCACAGCAGGGAAGCAACTTCGGTGGCACGGGCAGCGCAGTGGGGGCCTGTCGCGGCAGCGGGAGGTTGGGGTGCCCAGGTGTGCACCAGCCTGCGGGCCAAGAAGTCCGTGGAGGACCTGGGCGAGGCGGACCTCAAGGGGAAGACGGTGCTGATCCGGTGCGACCTCAACGTGCCCCTGAACGCGGACCTGGAGATCACGGACGACACGCGCATCACGGCCTCGATCCCGACGATCGAGTACCTCTGCAGCAAGGGCGCCAAGGTGCTGGCGTGCTCCCACCTTGGCCGCCCCAAGGACGGGCCCGAGGAGAAGTTCTCGTTGAAGCCAGTGGCGAAGAAGATGGGGGAGCTTATGAAGAAGGACATCAAGTGCGCCCCGGACTGCAAGGCCACGGACGAGGTGAAGGGGATGGTGTCGGCCATGAGCGAGGGAGACGTTTTGATCCTGGAGAACACTCGGTTCTACAAGGGAGAGACCAAGAACGATCCTGAGCTGGCGGAGAGCATGGCCAGCCTGGCGGACCTGTTCGTGAACGACGCGTTCGGCACCGCGCACCGCGCGCACTCCTCCACCGAGGGCGTGACCAAGTTCCTGAAGCCGAGCGTCTCGGGCTTCTTGCTGAAGAAGGACTGGGGGGGGCGAATGGGAGGTTGAGGTGGACGCCCCTGGAGAGGTGTAGTCGGGTAAGTGCTGCTTTGGAGGCAGGCACTGCTGGTGCCATGGTCTTCCGTGGGTCTGGTGGTGATGTAGGCTTCTCAGGATTGATCGGCAAGTTACGACACAGCTGTCTGGCAAATCAAGCCCTGGCATCCGATTGTTCCTGCGACCAGCTGCGGTCAGATGGCACACAAGATAAGTGTAGTTAGGTTCGCGGGGTCACGGTCTCCTTGAGCTTCTCTGAGCCGCCTCTTTTGAGTGGTGGCTGTCCAGTATCCTAGTCAGGTCAGGCTCATTGCTAGCCGCGGGCATGGTGGACGGCAGATGGTGGAGGCCACCCTAGAAAGCTATGTTGCGTTTTCAGGTGACTGTTTCCCGTGCCAATTTTCACGGATTCAAGGTCGCGTTCGGTTCTCATTTTCCCAACTCCCCAGTCCTGGAGGAGCTGGACTACTTGAAGGGCGCCGTGGACAGCCCGGTGAAGCCAATGGCGGCCATCGTGGGCGGCGCCAAGGTGAGCACGAAGATCCCGGTGATCGAGTCCATGCTGGAGAAGGTGGACAAGGTGATCATCGGCGGAGGCATGGTGTTCACCTTCCTGAAGGCACGCGGCCTCTCGGTCGGGAACTCCCTGGTGGAGGACGACCTCATCCCAGTTGTGAAGAAGCTGGAGGAGCAGGCCAAGGCCAAGGGCGTCGAGATCATCCTCCCGAGCGACATCGCTTGCGGCGATGAGTTCCCCGCGGGGGGCAAAGAGGTGAACTACAAGGTGGTGCCCGCGGATGATATCCCGGACGGCTGGCTCGGCCTGGACAACGGCCCGAAGGCGACCGAGGAGATCAAGGCTGCTCTGGCGGATTGCAAGACGATCATCTGGAACGGCCCGATGGGCGTGTTCGAGAGCCCGCAATTCAGCAAGGGCACCTACGACGTGGCGGAGTGCATCGCCGAGCTGACGGAAAAGAACGGCGCCATCAGCATCATTGGTGGCGGTGACTCCGTGTCCGCGGTGAACAAGTCCGGCCTGGCACCGAAGATGTCGCACATCTCCACCGGGGGCGGTGCCAGCCTGGAGCTGCTGGAGGGCAAGGTGCTGCCAGGGGTGGCTGCGCTGGACGAGAAGGAGATGGCCGCCGCGGCGTTCTGCGGACAGCGCAAGGTCACCAAGGCTTCCAGGACCAGCCTGCAGGCCAAGAAGTCCGTGGAGGACCTGGGCGAGGCGGACCTCAAGGGGAAGACGGTGCTGATCCGGTGCGACCTCAACGTGCCCCTGAACGCGGACCTGGAGATTACGGACGACACGCGCATCACGGCCTCGATCCCGACGATCGAGTATCTCTGCAGCAAGGGCGCCAAGGTGTTGGCGTGCTCCCACCTTGGCCGCCCCAAGGACGGGCCCGAGGAGAAGTTCTCGCTGAAGCCAGTGGCGAAGAAGATGGGGGAGCTGATGAAGAAGGACATCAAGTGCGCCCCGGACTGCAAGGCCACGGACGAGGTGAAGGGGATGGTCTCGGCCATGAGCGAGGGCGACGTTTTGATCCTGGAGAACACTCGGTTCTACAAGGGAGAGACCAAGAACGACCCTGAGCTGGCGGAGAGCATGGCCAGCCTGGCGGACCTGTTCGTGAACGACGCGTTCGGCACCGCGCACCGCGCGCACTCCTCCACCGAGGGCGTGACCAAGTTCCTGAAGCCGAGCGTCTCGGGCTTCTTGCTGAAGAAGGACTGGGGGGGGGAGTGGGGGGTTGAGGTGGACGCCCCTGGAGAGGTGCAGTCGGGTAAGTGCTGCTTTGGAGGCAGGCACTGCTGGTGCCATGGTCTTCCGTGGGTCTGGTGGTGATGTAGGCTTCTCAGCATTGATCGGCATGTTACGACACAGCCGTCTGGCAGATCAAGCCCTGGCATCCGATTGTTCCTGCTACCAGCTGCGGTCAGATGGCACTCAAGATAAGTGTCGTTAGGTTAACGGGGTCACGGTCTCCTTGAGCTTCTCTGAGCCGCCTCTTTTGAGTGGTGGCTGTCCAGTGTCCTAGTCAGGTCAGGCTCATTGCTAGCCGCGGGCATGGTGGACGGCAGATGGTGGAGGCCACCCTAGAAAGCTATGTTGCGTTTTCAGGTGACTGTTTCCCGTGCCAATTTTCACGGATTCAAGGTCGCGTTCGGTTCTCATTTTCCCAACTTCCCAGTCCTGGAGGAGCTGGACTACTTGAAGGGCGCCGTGGACAGCCCGGTGAAGCCAATGGCGGCCATCGTGGGCGGTGCCAAGGTGAGCACGAAGATCCCGGTGATCGAGTCCATGCTGGAGAAGGTGGACAAGGTGATCATCGGCGGAGGCATGGTGTTCACCTTCCTGAAGGCACGCGGCCTCTCGGTCGGGAACTCCCTGGTGGAGGACGACCTCATCCCCGTTGTGAAGAAGCTGGAGGAGCAGGCCAAGGCCAAGGGCGTCGAGATCATCCTCCCGAGCGACATCGCTTGCGGCGATGAGTTCCCCGCGGGGGGCAAAGAGGTGAACTACAAGGTGGTGCCCGCGGATGATATCCCGGACGGCTGGCTCGGCCTGGACAACGGCCCGAAGGCGACCGAGGAGATCAAGGCTGCTCTGGCGGATTGCAAGACGATCATCTGGAACGGCCCGATGGGCGTGTTCGAGAGCCCGCAGTTCAGCAAGGGCACCTACGACGTGGCGGAGTGCATCGCCGAGCTGACGGAAAAGAACGGCGCCATCAGCATCATTGGTGGCGGTGACTCCGTGTCCGCGGTGAACAAGTCCGGCCTGGCGCCGAAGATGTCGCACATCTCCACTGGAGGCGGTGCCAGCCTGGAGCTGCTGGAGGGCAAGGTGCTGCCAGGGGTGGCTGCGCTGGACGAGAAGGAGATGGCCGCCGCGGCTTTCTGCGGACAGCGCAAGGTCACCAAGGCTTCCAGGACCAGCCTGCAGGCCAAGAAGTCCGTGGAGGACCTGGGCGAGGCGGACCTCAAGGGGAAGACGGTGCTGATCCGGTGCGACCTCAACGTGCCCCTGAACGCGGACCTGGAGATTACGGACGACACGCGCATCACGGCCTCGATCCCGACGATCGAGTACCTCTGCAGCAAGGGCGCCAAGGTGTTGGCGTGCTCCCACCTTGGCCGCCCCAAGGACGGGCCCGAGGAGAAGTTCTCGCTGAAGCCAGTGGCGAAGAAGATGGGGGAGCTGATGAAGAAGGACATCAAGTGCGCCCCGGACTGCAAGGCCACGGACGAGGTGAAGGGGATGGTGTCGGCCATGAGCGAGGGAGACGTTTTGATCCTGGAGAACACTCGGTTCTACAAGGGAGAGACCAAGAACGACCCTGAGCTGGCGGAGAGCATGGCCAGCCTGGCGGACCTGTTCGTGAACGACGCGTTCGGCACCGCGCACCGCGCGCACTCCTCCACCGAGGGCGTGACCAAGTTCCTGAAGCCGAGCGTCTCGGGCTTCTTGCTGAAGAAGGACTGGGGGGGGACTGGGGGGTTGAGGTGGACGCCCCTGGAGAGGTGCAGTCGGGTAAGTGCTGCTTTGGAGGCAGGCACTGCTGGTGCCATGGTCTTTCGTGGGTCTGGTGGTGATGTAGGCTTCTCAGCATTGATCGGCATGTTACGACACAGCCGTCTGGCAGATCAAGCCCTGGCATCCGATTGTTCCTGCGACCAGCTGCGGTCAGATGGCACACAAGATAAGTGTCGTTAGGTTAGCGGGGTCACGGTCTCCTTGAGCTTCTCTGAGCCGCCTCTTTTGAGTGGTGGCTGTCCAGTATCCTAGTCCGGTCAGGCTCATTGCTAGCCGCGGGCATGGTGGACGGCAGATGGTGGAGGCGACCCTAGAAAGCTAAGTTACGTTTTCAGGTGACTGTTTCCCGTGCCAATTTTCACGGATTCAAGGTCGCGTTCGGTTCTCATTTTCCCAACTTCCCAGTCTTGGAGGAGCTGGACTACTTGAAGGGCGCCGTGGACAGCCCGGTGAAGCCAATGGCGGCCATCGTGGGCGGCGCCAAGGTGAGCACGAAGATCCCGGTGATCGAGTCCATGCTGGAGAAGGTGGACAAGGTGATCATCGGCGGAGGCATGGTGTTCACCTTCCTGAAGGCACGCGGCCTCTCGGTCGGGAACTCCCTGGTGGAGGACGACCTCATCCCAGTTGTGAAGAAGCTGGAGGAGCAGGCCAAGGCCAAGGGCGTCGAGATCATCCTCCCGAGCGACATCGCTTGCGGCGATGAGTTCCCCGCGGGGGGCAAAGAGGTGAACTACAAGGTGGTGCCCGCGGATGATATCCCGGACGGCTGGCTCGGCCTGGACAACGGCCCGAAGGCGACCGAGGAGATCAAGGCTGCTCTGGCGGATTGCAAGACGATCATCTGGAACGGCCCGATGGGCGTGTTCGAGAGCCCGCAGTTCAGCAAGGGCACCTACGACGTGGCGGAGTGCATCGCCGAGCTGACGGAGAAGAACGGCGCCATCAGCATCATTGGTGGCGGTGACTCCGTGTCCGCGGTGAACAAGTCCGGCCTGGCGCCGAAGATGTCGCACATCTCCACTGGAGGCGGTGCCAGCCTGGAGCTGCTGGAGGGCAAGGTGCTGCCAGGGGTGGCTGCGCTGGACGAGAAGGAGATGGCCGCCGCGGCGTTCTGCGGACAGCGCAAGGTCACCAAGGCTTCCAGGACCAGCCTGCAGGCCAAGAAGTCCGTGGAGGACCTGGGCGAGGCGGACCTCAAGGGGAAGACGGTGCTGATCCGGTGCGACCTCAACGTGCCCCTGAACGCGGACCTGGAGATTACGGACGACACGCGCATCACGGCCTCGATCCCGACGATCGAGTACCTCTGCAGCAAGGGCGCCAAGGTGCTGGCGTGCTCCCACCTTGGCCGCCCCAAGGACGGGCCCGAGGAGAAGTTCTCGCTGAAGCCAGTGGCGAAGAAGATGGGGGAGCTGATGAAGAAGGACATCAAGTGCGCCCCGGACTGCAAGGCCACGGACGAGGTGAAGGGGATGGTGTCGGCCATGAGCGAGGGAGACGTTTTGATCCTGGAGAACACTCGGTTCTACAAGGGAGAGACCAAGAACGACCCTGAGCTGGCGGAGAGCATGGCCAGCCTGGCGGACCTGTTCGTGAACGACGCGTTCGGCACCGCGCACCGCGCGCACTCCTCCACCGAGGGCGTGACCAAGTTCCTGAAGCCGAGCGTCTCGGGCTTCTTGCTGAAGAAGGACTGGGGGGGGGAATGGGGGGTTGAGATGGACGCCCCTGGAGAGGTGTAGTCGGGTAAGTGTTGCTTTGGAGGCAGGCACTGCTGGTGCCACGGTCTTCTGTGGGTCTGGTGGTGATGTAGGCTTCTCAGGATTGATTCGCAAGTTACGACACAGCCGTCTGGCAGATCAAGCCCTGGCATCCGATTGTTCCTGCGACCAGCTGCGGTCAGATGGCACACAAGATAGTGTCGTTAGGATAGCGGGGTCACGGTCTCCTTGAGCTTCTCTGAGCCTCCTCTTTTGAGTGGTGGCTGTCCGGTATCCTAGTCAGGTCAGGCTCATTGCGAGCCGCGGGCATGGCGGACGGCAGATGGTGGAGGCCACCCTAGAGAGCTATGTTACGTTTTCAGGAGCTGTTCCTGTGCCAATTTTGACGGATTCAAGGTCGCGTTCGGTTCTCACTTTCAGGTGCTCCCCAGTCCTGGAGGAGCTGGACTACTTGAAGGGGCCGTGGACAGCCCGGTGAAGCCAATGGCGGCCATCGTGGGCGGCGCCAAGGTGAGCACGAAGATCCCGGTGATCGAGTCCATGTTGGAGAAGGTGGACAAGGTGATCATCGGCGGTGGCATGGTGTTCACCTTCCTGAAGGTGTGCGGCCTCTCGGTGGGAACTCCCTGGTGGAGGACGACCTCATCCCAGTCGTGAAGAAGTTGGAGGAGGAGGCCAAGGCCAAGGGCGTCGAGATCATCCTCCCGAGCGACATCGCCTGCGGCGACGAGTTCCCCGCGGGGGGCAAAGAGGTCAATTACAAGGTGGTGCCCGCGGATGATATCCCGGACGGCTGGCTCGGCCTGGACAACGGCCCGAAGGCCACCGAGGAGATCAAAGCTGCCCTGGCGGATTGCAAGACGATCATCTGGAACGGCCCCATGGGCGTGTTCGAGAGCCCGCAGTTCAGCAAGGGTACCTACGACGTGGCGGAGTGCATCGCCGAGCTGACGGAGAAGAATGGCGCCATCAGCATGGCCGGTGGAGGGGACTCCGTGTCTGCGGTGAACAAGTCCGGCCTGGCGCCGAAGATGTCGCACATCTCCACTGGAGGCGGTGCCAGCTTGGAGCTTTTGGAGGGCAAGGTGCTGCCGGTGTGGCTGCGCTGGAGTGAAGGAGATGGCCGCCGCGGCGTTCTGCGGACAGCGCAAGGCCCCCAAGGCTTCCAGGATCAGCCTGCAGGCCAAGAAGTCCGTGGAGGACCTGGGCGAGGCGGACCTCAAGGGGAAGACGGTGCTGATCCGGTGCGACCTCAACGTGCCCCTGAACGCGGACCTGGAGATTACGGACGACACGCGCATCACGGCCTCGATCCCGACGATCGAGTACCTCTGCAGCAAGGGCGCCAAGGTGTTGGCGTGCTCCCACCTTGGCCGCCCCAAGGACGGGCCCGAGGAGAAGTTCTCGCTGAAGCCAGTGGCGAAGAAGATGGGGGAGCTGATGAAGAAGGACATCAAGTGCGCCCCGGACTGCAAGGCCACGGACGAGGTGAAGGGGATGGTGTCGGCCATGAGCGAGGGAGACGTTTTGATCCTGGAGAACACTCGGTTCTACAAGGGAGAGACCAAGAACGACCCTGAGCTGGCGGAGAGCATGGCCAGCCTGGCGGACCTGTTCGTGAACGACGCGTTCGGCACCGCGCACCGCGCGCACTCCTCCACCGAGGGCGTGACCAAGTTCCTGAAGCCGAGCGTCTCGGGCTTCTTGCTGAAGAAGGACTGGGGGGGGGAATGGGGGGTTGAGATGGACGCCCCTGGAGAGGTGTAGTCGGGTAAGTGTTGCTTTGGAGGCAGGCACTGCTGGTGCCACGGTCTTCTGTGGGTCTGGTGGTGATGTAGGCTTCTCAGGATTGATTCGCAAGTTACGACACAGCCGTCTGGCAGATCAAGCCCTGGCATCCGATTGTTCCTGCGACCAGCTGCGGTCAGATGGCACACAAGATAGTGTCGTTAGGATAGCGGGGTCACGGTCTCCTTGAGCTTCTCTGAGCCTCCTCTTTTGAGTGGTGGCTGTCCGGTATCCTAGTCAGGTCAGGCTCATTGCGAGCCGCGGGCATGGCGGACGGCAGATGGTGGAGGCCACCCTAGAGAGCTATGTTACGTTTTCAGGTGACTGTTTCCTGTGCCAATTTTCACGGATTCAAGGTCGCGTTCGGTTCTCACTTTCCCTGCTCCCCAGTCCTGGAGGAGCTGGACTACTTGAAGGGCGCCGTGGACAGCCCGGTGAAGCCAATGGCGGCCATCGTGGGCGGCGCCAAGGTGAGCACGAAGATCCCGGTGATCGAGTCCATGCTGGAGAAGGTGGACAAGGTGATCATCGGCGGAGGCATGGTGTTCACCTTCCTGAAGGCACGCGGCCTCTCGGTCGGGAACTCCCTGGTGGAGGACGACCTCATCCCAGTTGTGAAGAAGCTGGAGGAGCAGGCCAAGGCCAAGGGCGTCGAGATCATCCTCCCGAGCGACATCGCTTGCGGCGATGAGTTCCCCACGGGGGGCAAAGAGGTGAACTACAAGGTGGTGCCCGCGGATGATATCCCGGACGGCTGGCTCGGCCTGGACAACGGCCCGAAGGCGACCGAGGAGATCAAGGCTGCTCTGGCGGATTGCAAGACGATCATCTGGAACGGCCCGATGGGCGTGTTCGAGAGCCCGCAGTTCAGCAAGGGCACCTACGATGTGGCGGAGTGCATCGCCGAGCTGACGGAAAAGAACGGCGCCATCAGCATCATTGGTGGCGGTGACTCCGTGTCTGCGGTGAACAAGTCCGGCCTGGCGCCGAAGATGTCGCACATCTCCACTGGAGGCGGTGCCAGCCTGGAGCTGCTGGAGGGCAAGGTGCTGCCAGGGGTGGCTGCGCTGGACGAGAAGGAGATGGCCGCCGCGGCGTTCTGCGGACAGCGCAAGGTCCCCAAGGCTTCCAGGACCAGCCTGCAGGCCAAGAAGTCCGTGGAGGACCTGGGCGAGGCGGACCTCAAGGGGAAGACGGTGCTGATCCGGTGCGACCTCAACGTGCCCCTGAACGCGGACCTGGAGATTACGGACGACACGCGCATCACGGCCTCGATCCCGACGATCGAGTACCTCTGAAGCTAAGGGCGCCAAGGTGATGCGTGCTCCCACCTTGGCCGCCCCCCTAGGACGGGCCCGAGGAGTAGTTCTCGCTGAAGCCAGGTGGCGAAGATGATGGGGGAGCTGATGAAGATAGGAAATCAAGTCTTCTCCCCCGACTGCAAGGCCACGGCGCGGTGTAAGGGGATGGTGTCGGCACTGAGCGAGGGAGACCGTTTTGATCCTGGAGAACACTCGGTTCTTACAAGGGAGAGACCAAGAAAGTAACCGACCTGAGCGGGGGGTTGGCGGAGGAGGCCAATGGCCAGCCTGGCGGACCTGTTCGTGAACGACGCGTTCGGCACCGCGCACCGCGCGCACTCCTCCACCGAGGGCGTGACCAAGTTCCTGAAGCCGAGCGTCTCGGGCTTCTTGCTGAAGAAGGACTGGGGGGGGGAATGGGGGGTTGAGGTGGACGCCCCTGGAGAGGTGCAGTCGGGTAAGTGCTGCTGTGGAGGCAAGCACTGCTGGTGCCATGGTCTTCCGTGGGTCTGGTGGTGATGTAGGCTTCTCAGGATTGATCGGCATGTTACGACACAGCCGTCTGGCAGATCAAGCCCACGCATCCGATTGTTCCTGCGACCAGCTGCGGTCAGATGGCACACAAGATAGTGTCGTTAGGTTAGCGGGGTCACGGTCTCCTTGAGCTTCTCTGAGCCGCCTCTTTTGAGTGGTGGCTGTCCGGTATCCTAGTCAGGTCAGGCTCATTGCGAGCCGCGGGCATGGTGGACGGCAGATGGTGGAGGCCACCCTAGAAAGCTATGTTACGTTTTCAGGTGATTGTTTCCTGTGCCAATTTTCACGGATTCAAGGTCGCGTTCGGTTCTCACTTTCCCAACTCCCCAGTCCTGGAGGAGCTGGACTACTTGAAGGGCGCCGTGGACAGCCCGGTGAAGCCAATGGCGGCCATCGTGGGCACTGCGCCATGGGGAGCACGATGTCCGGTGATCGAGTACCATGCTGGAGAAAGCGCGGGCTGGTGATCATCGGGGACGGCATGGTGTTTCACCTTCTTTCCGAAGGCACGCGGGAGAGCGTTCGGGAACTCCTGGTGGCGCCCGACCACATCCCAGTTGTGATGAAGATGAAGGAGCAGCTAGGCCAAGGGCGTCGTGTTATCCTCCGAGCGACAGTCGCTTGCGGCGATGAGTGTCCCGCGGGGGGCAAAGAGTGAACTACCATGGTGTGTGCACGCGGATGTTATCCCGGAGGCTTTGGCTCGGACTGGACAACGGCCCGAAGGCGACCGAGGAGAGCAAGAGGGCAAGCTGGCGGAATTGCTTGACGATCATCTGTGGAACGGCCCGTTGGGCGTGTTCGAGAGCCGCAGGTCAGCAAGGGCAAACGAAGTGGCGGAGTGCATCGCCGAGCTGACGGAAAAGTCCAGGACCGCTCTGGCATCATGGGTGGGGAGGGTGGCGGTGACTCCGTGTCCGCGGTGAACAAGTCCGGCCTGGCGCCGAAGATGTCGCACATCTCCACTGGGGGCGGTGCCAGCCTGGAGCTGCTGGAAGGCAAGGTGCTGCCAGGTGTGGCTGCGCTGGACGAGAAGGAGATGGCCGCCGCTGCGTTCTGCGGACAGCGTAAGGTCCCCAAGGCTTCCAGGACCAGCCTGCGGGCCAAGAAGTCCGTGGAGGACCTGGGCGAGGCGGACCTCAAGGGGAAGACGGTGCTGATCCGGTGCGACCTCAACGTGCCTCTGAACGCGGACCTGGAGATCACGGACGACACGCGCATCACGGCCTCGATCCCGACGATCGAGTACCTCTGCAGCAAGGGCGCCAAGGTGCTGGCGTGCTCCCACCTGGGGCGCCCCAAGGACGGGCCCGAGGAGAAGTTCTCGCTGAAGCCAGTTGCGAAGAAGATGGGAGAGCTGATGAAGAAGGACATCAAGTGCGCCCCAGACTGCAAGGCCACGGACGAGGTGAAGGCGATGGTGTCGGGCATGAGCGAGGGAGACGTTCTGATCCTGGAGAACACTCGTTTCTACAAGGGGGAGACCAAGAACGACCCCGAGCTGGCGGAGAGCATGGCCAGCCTGGCGGACCTGTTCGTGAACGACGCGTTCGGCACCGCGCACCGCGCGCACTCCTCCACCGAGGGCGTGACCAAGTTCCTGAAGCCGAGCGTCTCGGGCTTCCTGCTGAAGATTAAGAAGGCACTGGGGGGGGAGGGAATGGGGGGTTGAGGTGGCGCCCATGGAGAGGTGTAGTCGGGTAAGTGATTGCTTTGGTGGCAGGCACTGCTGGTGCCATGGTCTTCCGGGGGTCTGGTGGTGATGTTGGCTTCTCAGGGATTTTTTGGGAATCGGCATGTTACGACCACAGGCCCGTCTGGCAGATCAACCATGCTTCGATGTTCTGCGACAGCTGCGGTTCAGAGGGTTCACAAGATTAGTGTCTCGTTAGGTTAGCGGGGGTTCCGGTCTCCTTGTGCTTCTCTGAGCCGCCTCTTTTGAGTGGTGGCTGTCCTGTATCCCTAGTTAGGTCAGGATCATGCGAGGCCGCGGGCATGGTGGACGGCAGATGGTGGAGTCCACCCTGAAAGCTTGTTACGTTTTCGTTTGATTGTTTCTGTGCACAACATTCACGGAGTCAGGTATCGTTCGGTTCTACTTTCCCACTCCCCAGCCCTGGAGGAGCTGGACTACTTGAAGGGCGCTGTGGACAACCCGGTGAAGCCAATGGCGGCCATCGTGGGCGGCGCCAAGGTGAGCACGAAGATCCCGGTGATCGAGTCCATGTTGGAGAAGGTGGACAAAGTGATCATCGGCGGCGGCATGGTGTTCACCTTCCTGAAGGCCCGCGGCCTCTCGGTCGGGAACTCCCTGGTGGAGGACGACCTCATCCCAGTTGTGAAGAAGTTGGAGGAGGAGGCCAAGGCCAAGGGCGTCGAGATCATCCTCCCGAGCGACATCGCCTGCGGCGACGAGTTCCCCGCAGGGGGCAAAGAAGTCAATTACAAGGTGGTACCCGCGGATGCGATCCCAGACGGCTGGCTCGGCCTGGACAACGGCCCGAAGGCGACCGAGGAGATCAAAGCTGCCCTGGCGGATTGCAAGACGATCATCTGGAACGGCCCCATGGGAGTGTTCGAGAGTCCGCAGTTCAGCAAGGGTACCTACGACGTGGCGGAGTGCA